TTTTCGTTGTTTGCGGCGGACCGAAAAATTGCCTATACACGCTTTTATTGCGCGTGGTGGGATGGGACCCTGGTGCGCTGCCTACGATGATGCGAGTAATCACCTAAAGCCCTTCTTCATTGTTCATGGCGCACCAGAAAATTGCCTATATATGCTTTTATTGCACGTGGTGGGGTGGGACCTTGGTGCGGCGCCTACGAGTCACTCATAAGTACCTCCGAGTGGGGTTTAACTCAAATCAATACGAATATGAAATTTAAATAAGGGTTTAACTCAAATCAATACGAATATGAAATTGAACTTGCAATGACTTCAGAAGACTCTAAACAAGCACTTGAACTCAGATTATACAATATTAAGTGGGACTTGTAAACTTGATGAATTCAAGTCTAAATGAAACTGAACTTGGACTCAAAGATATACAAAGAACAAAGTTTGAATCATATACGAGGGAACTCAAGAACATTTGTATGGCCAATAATGACTCAATGTCGGATGAAATACATTGATCCTTGTAAACAAATGTGACTAAGATGCGACAAATACAAATACCCACGGGCTCTTGTAGGGAGGATATTGCAACATCCTCGTAACTAACATTGAGGTACAAGCAGACACCATAGTTTAAAATTGCGCAATCTTAGGCGCGCCTCGAGGCGCGCCTTTGCGCAATTTGCTTCAAAATAGCCTCAAAGCCTACACAATTCTCAGGCATCATGAGGCGTACGCCTTAGGTGGAATGAGGCGCGCCTCACTAGCGTTATTGCGCAATTTCCTTTGAGGCGTACGCCTCAAATATATGCTCAATACCGCTCAATACATGCTCGGTACCGCTCATTATATGCTCGGTACTGCTAGGTACATGCTCGATACCGCTCAGTATATGCTCGGTATAGCTAGGTATTTTCTCGGTACTGCTAGGTACATGCTCGGTACTGCTCAGTATATGCTCGGTTTAGCTAGGTATTTGCTCGGTACTGCTAGGTACATGCTCGATACCGCTTAGTACCGCTAGGTACATGCTCGGTACTGCTAAGGAACATGCTCGGTACCACTCGGTATCTTCTCATACAAACAACTTACGAACTTCCAAAACAAACAAAACTTCAGGTCGAACCCCGTCAGGGGGTAGCGCCCCCTTGGACCCCCGGCAGTCCGGCATATTGTTCTATTCATTATCTTTAGTAATAGTTGTTAGTGTTAGTCTACTTCTTCATGAGTGCATGCTTTGATTGGAAGACATTGGACTCTATAGGAGAGGAGGATTGGGTGAAAAGATTCCCTTGAAGACCCATTTAGTGATGAGACATGATTAGATTATATATGTTCTTTCTTAATTGTACTTTTGGAGTTTTGATAGACTAATATTTTGTGATTTTGTACTTTGGAATATGATTTTATTGCATCTATTTTCTTACTTTCCCCTAATTTTAATTGTCATTTAGATGTTTTTATTGTATGATAGAATCTTACTATTTTTTACTTGCTAAAACCCTTAAATTCTCATTTATGCAATTCTTCGTCGGTGAGGCTTACGCCTCACACCACCTCGAGGCTTACGCCTCGCCTCACGGACGAAAAACGCCTCGAGGCTTATTTACGCAATTTTAAACCTTGGCAGGCACACTACAAGACTTAAATGCGTACAAACAAAGAATGTAGTTGATTCTTACAACAATCTTTACGAGATCAGGTGCATCGTACTTGCAAGAACAACAAATGGTTGCATAATGCATGAGTGTTTCCTATATGCGTTATTGAAACCTCCAACGCTAGCAACACTACATGTAGATTGAGATAGCAATACTGGCATTTGATAGTGGAAGACCTGTCCCTGCAAACAAATACATCAAATTACCTGAGATTGGTGAAAGGTGGATATGATGTAGACAACAATGACTCTTCTACAAACACTTCCAGGAGGTCTTAGCAAATACAATGGGTCCCTGCAAATGAATACGAGCCACTTGTGGATAACAACAGTGAATATATCGTAAGTACAACAAACCATTATGGACATAAGTACTTATATCAGCTATAAAAACGATGATTGAGATGCTACTAGTATGTCGGGTATAAAGATAACTCAATGTACGAAAAAGGATACCGCCTGATAGAAGGGAAGGGATGCTTGAACAAATTATAACTAAACTTCCTGGTGTTCCAAGATTTTTTCTTAGTCCTATACTTAGGAAGAAAACAGTTCTGGTATCCACAAATACCGTAAATAACAAGTCTACTACACTAAGGAGCTTGAAAGGAGATATTTTCAAGGCAGCGGTCACGAATTTCAAAAAAGGATCTCCCGGTGAATAAGAAAAGGGAGTTTACATCAGAGCATTGAGGTATCTCATTGCAATCAGATGACAATGCTACAATTCACCTGTATCCAAAGCAGGAGATTCGTTAGTTCATTATGATCCACCTACAGAAAGCAAATAGGGCACGACAGTCTACATGTACAATGTAGCAAACAACTCAGTTCATAAGCTACTATAATACGCCACCGAATCCACAACACTCATATAAGTGGACAGAAGGCGTGTTCAAATTCTCAAATGAAATGTTATGTGCATTCAAATGGCAGTTACTTGTACAATTACAAATATTTCAAAGTACCCCCGCACGTGCACCGTAGCTTGTATACACATAGGTACACTAAAGGGATAAATGCAATCACAAGACCCTCATGGGCCCCGACGAGCATGTTGTAGGAACATATGTGACGTCTAGGGATGTTGCATGGGTCAATAAATTTGAAACCCAATCCTCGTAAGTAGGTAAAAAGGAGTCGACGGGGTTTAATTATAAAATGCCCCCAAACACCTACATAGGCCCCAACGAGGATGTTATAAGTATACACGTAACATCTAATGGGCCCCAACGAGGATGTTATAAGTATACACGTAACATTTAGGGATGCTGTGCGGGTTGATAAGTGAATTCAAGTTCGAACCCGATCATTCTATACAGATTAATAGAAGTTGACAGGGTTCGAACCTTCAAACAAATATACGGTTGTGACGACCGATATATTTGTTTTAATACATTCATGTTAGGCTTTAAAAACCTACAATAAAAAAAAATTCACAAAGACATAAAGCCTACGAGAAACCCGATCCTCGGTCAGCAGCTTGGTTGAGTTGACAATGTTCAGTCCATAAATGGAAATGAACCCAAACATTGATGATGGTCGTGTTGAACGAAGATCTCAACTGGAGGGGTTCACAAATATTTTTAAATGCCACTCAAATTCTCACAAATCCAAATCTCAAATCCCAATTCCATATATTTAAAATTCAGAAATCCATCCATCAACACTTAAAGCAAAATCCATCCACCCTCCGCAATAGTTTGCCAGATGGACAAATTCAAATATAACTTTAGCTCACATAGAGCTAATGCCTAGTCGAAAATATCACTAGGATCCATTCTCAAACAATCTTATGCCAATAAGGATGTGGTACGTATCTTCTAACCGGCGATTTTGCCTCCAAATGGCACCGCAGGATAAACTGTTATGACCCGGGGCCATCTGAACTGAGTGATTTTGCCGCCAAATGGCACCACAAATACTGGTTATGGCTAGAGCCAATATGCTCCTTAACGGCATCAAATCCTTGAGATATGAATCAATATGATATAATTGATAGGGCATAAAGCTCTATGTTAGCTAAGGTGGATTCAAATTTGTCCCCTTATATAAACATTCACCCTAGGTCTATAAGATTCCCTTGGATGAATCAACCAATGACTGCCGACAAGGATCCTTCTGTCAGGTCGGGTCGACTACCTCCTCTGACTAAGTAGACCAGGGACCACGATGGCCCGAGATGACGGAACCATGGGATCTTGATCGGGTCTATCATCCATTCCCGCACCATCTGGATGTCGCGACCTGGAGCAGCAAACGGGCGGAAAATGTCGGGATGGAGCTTAGGCCGATCGGGTGTGGAGATTTAATGGAAGATTTTAAGTAGGTGGGCCCTTGGGATGAGGCGTACGCCTCTCTTAAAATTGCGCAATTGCGCAACAGAGGCGCGCCTCAGCTTCCATGAGGCGTACGCCTCAACACTGCCTCCTATTGCGTATGCCTTGAGGCGTTTTTTTCAGGAATTGCGCAGAGGCGCGCCTCAAGGCGCGCCTCTTATTGCGCAATTTTAAACCATGTTTTAAATATCAATTATTCTAACACAAATTCCAAACATCAGAACTTTTCAAACACCTATGCCCATGCTGCTACTATATGCCAAATAACACATATTCTCTACATATCTGATTGACGACTAGCCATAATCGAAAGTTTTCTCTCATTATTGGGAGGAGTAATTAACTATAGGGGTTTGCGTCTATAGGAAACCAAAACTTAGATCATAAAGTCCTTGCAAAATGAGGGTGAAATCTCTGGGTAGTGTCTTATCTACAAAACCATCTGCCTTTCCAAAATTTACCCAGGACCTAAATCCGTTAAAACTCCCCTCGAAGAAAAAAGCAAACGCGGGCGGAGGCCGGGGCCGAATTTTCGGAGCCCACAATCTAATTATCTATTTTTTATTCCAATGGTTAATATTTTATTGTTTACCATGCAAGTTATAATAGTTTGGCTATTCATTCAGAGAAGCACCTTAATATTATCTTAAGTCTTCTCCAATCTTCTGATTTGCATTCCTCTTCCTTGCATTATGAATTGCAACATTAGGTTACGTTCCATAACTTTTTATTTTGACCGCATAAATTTTTATTTAGTTTTATTTTTTTGTAATCTTATTTGCCATCTTAAATTGAATTTTTATTTTGAACGCATAAATTTTTATTGAGTTTTATTTTTTTGTTTTTCTATTTGCCATATAAAATTGTATTCTGGTCAGTGGGTTTGCAACTTACAAGTTGTGGTCCCCCTATTTTTATTGAAGATTATTTATTATGATCTTTCAGTTGATCATTGTGATTGTAGAGTCGTAGTCAAGTATATCTCATGCAACTTTTTTATTTTTTTCTAGATTCTTCTCAAGGGTGCAAATGGTGATGAGCTGAAGCGGGTGAAACATGTGGTTCAATATGGTATTTTTGCAGCCTACCACCTTGCTTTAGAAACTTCTTACCTTGCCGATGAAGGGGCCTCTCTACCGGAACTTTCTTTGAAGCCTCCAATAACTGTAGCACTGCAAGATAAGCCATCTGGTGTCAACAGATCCATATCCACCGTACCTGGTTTTGCTAGCGATATTTCTTTTGCAACCGTGCCTAGCGACGGTGTAAATTCCAACATTGTGCAGGATACCTACTCCGAAACAACTATGCCTGAAGAAGTGAATTTGCACGCATCACCACTTCAATCTAGTAGCCTTAGCTCCCAGACGGTGGACGCGGCCTCTACCCTTTCTACTCAACCTGAAAATAGTGAAAAGTTGGATACGTGGAATTTCAGCTATGCCATGCATGCTGTGGAGCCACAGAGTAGAGTTTCTTTGACAATGAAAGATTGCATTAGTACCTTTTCAAATAATGTCTCAGGGCAGTTTCCAAGGGAGAAGAATAAAACTTGTTTTTTGGAATCTTCCATTGCTGAAACAATCTCAAACGATGTTCAAGAGCATACCATTTCTAAACCAGTTGCTCTGGAAGATGATTTAAATCAAGAAGACGAAGTTGGCCTATCTCATGCCTTGAATTTTTATCAAGGTCAAGTACAGGAAAGCACACAGATGTTGGAGGATTTTTCACCATGTCCTTCTGATCATCAAAGCATTTTAGTTTCTCTATCAAGCCGTTGTGTGTGGAAAGGCACTGTTTGTGAACGATCTCATCTCTTTCGCATTAAATACTACGGTAGTTTTGATAAGCCTCTTGGAAGGTTTTTGAGGGACCATCTATTTGACCAGGTTCAACTTTGTTTTAATATTTGAATTAAGTTTTGACCAGTTTCTTACTCCCCAAACTAATCATACCTTCTGTTTATGCTAGAGTTATCAATGCCCTTCTTGTGACATGCCCTCAGAAGCTCACATTTATTGTTACACTCATCAACAAGGTAGTTTGACAATATCAGTTAGAAAACTAACTGAGTTTCGTTTGAGCGGAGAACGGGATGGAAAGATATGGATGTGGCATAGGTGTCTACGTTGTCCTCGGCTTAATGGTTTCCCACCCGCAACCAGAAGAATTGTAATGTCAGATGCTGCTTGGGGTTTATCATTCGGTAAATTTTTGGAGCTTAGCTTTTCAAATCATGCCGCTGCTAGCAGGGTTGCTAGCTGTGGTCATTCTCTTCATAGGGACTGTCTTCGGTTTTATGGGTATCAATTTCTCTCTTTGTTTATTTATTGTTTTATACTACCACCTTGATCTATTTCATTTATTAGTCATGCATTCTTAATCAGGTTTGGAAAAAAGGTTGCCTGCTTTCGATATGCATCAATTAATGTTCACTCCGTTTACCTGCCACCTCATAAACTTCACTTCAACCACAGATATCAGGATTGGGTACAAAAAGAAGCTAATGAGGTCTGGTATCTTATTGAAAAGAAAAAAAATGAATTTTTTTTTTTTTTTTTGTAGAAACCATTTCACTTAAATTCATAATCCCTGATATATTGTTGCACCATACCAGGTTGATGAGAGGAAAGAACTGTTGTTTGCTAATGTATTAAGCTCCCTTAGACGGATTGCAGCTAAAAGACCATGCTGTGAGGTTAAAACAGAAAACCCCAAATTCAATCATTTTATTCACAAACTTGAAGAAATGCAGCTGCAGGAGAAGGAAGAATTTGAGGTAAGATGTTAGTATTTCGTTCAACCATTTCGGGATTCAGTTTCTTTTTTATGTATTAGCAATTTCATTTGCCCCTTTCAATTTTTCCAGGAATCTCTAAATAAGGTGCTTAAAAAGGAGTTGAATAAGGGAGAACCATTCATTGATATTCTTGAGATAAACAAGCTGAAGAGGCAGTTGATCTTCCAGTCATATATTTGGGACCAGCGCTTGATATTTGCTACTGGGTTAGAACATCATCCCCATGAGTTTCTTAGTGGATTCTTGATTAGTGATAGTGAAAAATCCCCAACTGACAAACTAGAAGATCCAAATTTAACTACTAAAGTGCAAGGTACCAACACTGCTGATTTAGATTTCAGAATTGATGATATTACCAAGGATGGAAAACTTGCAGTTAGCCTTATTGACAAACCATCTGACCAGCCCAACAGTTGGAATCTATATCAGCAGAAATTCACTACTGAAGCTGACACTGTTGAATGGAAACAAAAAATGACTAGTCTTTCTACTTGTGCTAGTGAAGGCGCTCAATTAGATCCTTTGGCATCTGGTCTTAGTGGGCATATAACCCTCTCAGACGGGCAGTTTCCAATATTGGCAAATATTTCTGATACATTTGATGCCAAATGGACAGGCGAATATGGACCTGCATTTACAGATTTAAGCACGCTGGACTCATCTGCTTCAGTAGATCCAGCAACTCTGGTAGCTCATGAGACAGAAAAGAAAGGTGTAGCTGATGTTACAGAGTCTTTGGCATCTGCATTATGTTTCAAGTTGGGGGATAGCACAGAAGAGTTCTCAAATTGGGTTGAACTGCCTTTTCTCGATCTCTATCATTCTTTCAACATGGGCTTAGGCTTTACTCCAAGATTTGTGACCCTGAATGAGTACAATCCTGTCCATGTTTCTTTGTTCCAGGAGTTTGAGCATCAAGGTGGGGGAAGGCTGCTTCTTCCAATTGGAGAAAATGAAACAGTCATCCCAGTCTATGATGATGAGCCCACAAGTCTCATTTCTTATGCGCTTGTCTCACCCAACTATTGTTTTCAAATGTCAGATGATCGGGAAAGAACCAGAGATTTAGTGGACTCATCATTTCAATCAACCTTGAGTGGTCCAGTCAACCTTCAGTTTTCTCATTCAATGGATGAACTCTCCTCTGAATCCTTTAGAAGCTTTGGTTCGACTGAAGAGAGCACATTGTCATTGACTGGAAGCAGAAGCTCTTTGGATCCAGTTTTGTATACAAAAACAATGCATGCTAGAATCTCCTTTGAAGATGATGGTCCACTGGGGAAAGTCAAATATACAGTGATTTGCTATTATGCTAAGCATTTTGATGCTTTGAGGAGAACCTGCTGTCCATCTGAACTTGATTTTATAAGATCTCTCAGTCGCTGCAAGAAATGGGGTGCACCGGGTGGCAAAAGCAATGCATTCTTTGCTAAATCACTAGATGATAGGTTTATCATCAAACAAGTCACGAAAACAGAAATTGAATCATTTATTAAGTTTGCTCCTGAATACTTCAAGTATCTCTCAGAATCTATAGACACTGGAAGTCCTACATGCCTTGCAAAGATTCTTGGTATCTACCAGGTACTTTTTGTTTCCTTCTTTTAGTATGTTTCTCCTTATTAGTTACAATTATTCATTGTATTTGCTTAAGTTTGTTACTTTTATATAAACCCCTTACTGTTTTGTTATCCATACTCTTTATGTGCGTGTGGTTTCTTCCTTAAGTAGCTAAGTTATTCATATTTTACATTTGACTTTGCATTGTGAAAGATTTTGGTGATTAGCGATGTAGGCATGAATGTTTTTGGATTGGAGTATTCGTGCTGTCTTCCTAGTGCTTTTAAGCACTTATTTAAAAATGTTTCTTAAATTGCCTTTGCAACAATCTCTTTTATTAATATTACCACTCGCACATCTTTTTATGCTTATGAGCCTGTAAAGTATTTTTGTAAGCGTTAAGATGAAAAGGTTTACTGAAACTGTAAGCTAATTTAGTGTGTCAATGTATATGTTGTTGATAACAAATTTTGCTGATGGGAATTGTAGTACGTGGAACAAATACAGACTGTGTATATATTTGCAGCTTATATAAGGAGGTTTAAAGCAAAATGTTTGCATATTTATGGATAGACATTGAACGGGAGTTATATGGTAATTTGCTGATAAGAAGCAGAGAAAGACTCGAGAGTTTTCACTTATGTTTTTGTTCTGGAAGAAATAGTTGGCTTATCTTTCAGCAGTAGTTTTAAAATTCTTTCAAACTTATTTTCTTTTAATCATATCAAAATATTGAACGTCATTTGTTATTTATTAGTTCTCCCTATGGGGTATCCTGTACAGTTAATCATTTGGTCCAACAGCTTTTGCTTAATGAAATAATGATAATTTGATGTTTTCTTCAAGGTGGCAACTAAGCACTTGAGGGGCGGCAAAGAGATGAAAATGGATGTATTGGTTATGGAAAATCTTTTATTTGGACGAACTGTAAAATGGCTATATGACCTTAAGGGATCTTTGAGATCAAGATATAATCCCGATGCAAATGGTAATAACAAGGTACTTCTTGATCAAAATTTGATTGAGGCCATACCAACATCTCCAATTTTTGTGGGAAACAAGGCAAAGCGGTTGTTGGAGAGAGCTGTTTGGAATGATACATCTTTGCTCGCTGTAAGTAGAATTCCATTGGTTCTGTTTAAGACTTGTGAAGTTGGTACCCTCTTATGTTTTTTGTGGGATTATTATGTTTAAATATTTTTTTCTTGTCTTCGCCAATCTTTTGCCTTATGTTTGTTATTTTATTCAAGAACATATATTTGCTCTTATTGCCATTTGTAAAGTTAAAACGTTTTGAATTTTCATTCTTAAAAATGAAACTTTTTACAATATCGGCACCTTGTTGCGCACATATTACTTACTGCATTATTGAATAGCATTTAAGAATAAATTATCACTGTCATTTATTTATTTTATAGTTACATTATTTAATGGCTGTTTAGAGTTACTTCAACTGTTTTTTTCAAAATAAATAAGATCCTTTAAAGATGTTATCTTAATTTTGGAAATATGCCCATTTGTTTTTGGAATCAGAGATCCAGTTGGTTCAACTAAACAATATTTTATATGCTGTTTCACTTCAGCAAAATAAATAACGAGATAAAACTCCATTACAAACAAGGCTTCTTTCTTACTTTCTTTAGCTCTTTGATTGGGTGATCTGGGTTATCTGGAAAAATAAATTGCATTATATTTTGTTATTAGGTTAAAAGTGTTTTTTTAACTTTGAATTTCTTGGATTGAAATGATTTAGGTTGTTTGAAGAAAATGCACCTATTATACGAATTCCTAAAATTATTATTAGTGGATTAATAAGAAAAATGGATGGGCTTAGGTTAGATGGATAAAAATAGTTCAAAATGTTTTGTGAATAATAAGCATAACATCTCAAACCAAACTCACAAAAAAAGAGGGTTTATACACCATCCTCAATAGCCTAGATAAAACTCCCTAGAAATGAATAAAAAGTGAGGATTTATAATGCCATCCCTAAATTGTTTGGATAATAAGGTTGCATCCTTGGAACAGTGTTGTTACTTCTTCTAAGAATGACAACGCAAATCTGGAAATTTAGATTAGGCAGCGGAGTTATTTTTTTAAATTGATTCGGGTCTCGTTTGAGACGGCTTAATTTTACCTTTACCGTTTCAGAAGGGCATAATTTTTTTTTTCGCTGTTAGAATGTGACGCATGCTTTTTCGGAAACTCCATTTTTTTCTGTTTTGAGAAGCATTATGGTAGTAGCTTCTCTGTTTAAAACTTTCATTTCTTCAATTGATGTTTTTGAAACGGAAAAGGTAAAGAAATCAAATGAAGTCTCAGTAAGTGGGTTATTGCAGTTGGCCTAGTACTTGTGGGTCCGACTTGAGCACTTGTGTTTCTTTTATTTTTAGAAAAGAAATTGAAAGCAATCTTGTTAAAAGACTGATTTATTTTTTTTCCTGAATGATTAAATTGATTAATTTGCTATTATGAGTCCTTTGTTTTATTAGCATTTGATTCAAAAGGAATATTGTTTATCAGGAAAATTTTCTTTTAATTTTGTTAAATTCATGTTTTATTTTGAGTGACACAAACATTATATTTCTTTTTATGCATTTAATATTTTCTTTGTCCTAATCTCCTGGATTAAGAAGTGTTGATGAGTTACCTTATAAACTTGTTTTTATAGGATTTAGGCACAATATCTTCATAGGACCTAGTTTAATTATTTGTTAAGTTATATACTTCTATACAACAACAACAACAAGAACATCAAGCCTTTATCCCACTACGTGGGGTCGGCTATATGAATCCTTTTTCTCCATTGTGTCGTATTAAAGGTCAAATTCTCGTTTAAATCTAATAAAGAAAGTTCATTCCTAATATTTTCTAACCAGGTCTTTTTAGGTCTGTGATGGGGACATCGGTTGGAAAGTCTACCGTCGACGTGGTCGTAGATCGAACAATCATTGGAAGATACGTGGGATTTCTACGACGTCTCTCCGTGAAGGTGATTCTTTCTCCTTCTTGATTCTTTTACTTTTGAATTCCGAATTCTTCATGAGAATTTGTTCAAAGCGAGAGATTGTGTCCCTTTATTGCCATCCACTAGTACTCGTAAGATTTGTTACTTCTTGGCTTTAGATCTCGTTGTTAAACAAGGGTTAAGTTGGAAACTACTTCGCATGCAACGTTTTAGTTTTCCTATGTGTTTTGATCTAGCTTAGTCTCGTGTAGTTTAGCCTAAGCGAAAGTAACTACTTAATTGTTTTAAGTTGTTGTTTTAATCGCTTTAACGAGAATCTAAAGTTGCTCTTAAAATCTTTGTGCAAATCTCCAATTACGCATATAGTTCTACATCAGTCTGCCTCTACCTTTCTTAACATAAGTCAAATCTAATACCTCTACTCTCGTAACCGGGTCATTGGAAGTCTGCCGTTTTATGTGACCAAACCATCTAAGGCGACTCTCTCTAATCTTATCTTCTACTGGAGCTACTCCAACCTTTTCACGTATATGCTCATTTCGTATCCTATCTCTAAGGGTAAAGCCACTCATCCACCTGAGCTTCCTCATCTCTTCCACACTTAAGTATATTATGCTTCTCTTTTAATGGCCAACATTCAGCACCATAAAGCATTGCAGGCCTCACTACCATCTTATAGAATTTTCCCTTAAGTTTGAGGGGTACTTTTCTATCACACAACAAGCCCGATGCATTCCTCCACTTCAATCATCCAACTTGAATTCTGCTGATAATATCCCCATCTATTTCACCATCACTCTGAACAATAGACCCAAGTTATATACTTTTATAATCCTTTTTTTTTTCATCATTCTTTCCTTTCCCTTATTATTATTATTTTTGGGAACATGCTGTTTCTTGTCATGTTTGTCTACTTCATTCATTAATGGGGTTAGATTTTAAAAAAAATATATTTTTTTGACACTAAAAATAAGGGTATTCTGCATTAAGGTCTCTATGGTTTTACACTTCCCTAATCCTTTTTTCATCATTCTTTTCTTTCCCTTATTATTATTATTATTTTTTTGGAACATGGGGTTACTAGTCATGCTTGTCCACTTCAATGGAGTTAGATTTTCTTAAATATTTTTGTGATATTGCAAAAATAAGGGTATACTGCATGAATATCTCCCTGGTTTAAGTCTAGTCTCGGTTCCATCCCATAGGTTTTCATTTAGGCCTTTAATGGACCATAATAAAATGATCGTAAATTTTTTTGTCCTTAAAGGGCCTAATCGTGTAAGATAAAAGCCCGAACAGAGCAATTATTACTACACCCAAACCTAATATCTTATGAGTAATTTACCCTGAAATAAAACAACTGTAAGGGAAATGAGAATGCATTTAATATTTATATTATTTAAGCTATCATTTAGTTGTAACTTTTGGGTTATTATTTATTGTGTATTGAAACCATGAGTACATTCACTAAAGGTTTTAAAACCTATTTGTCATGTTTTAAAGATAAAATGCCTCTCTGGCAAAATCCTGCCTACTTTTGTCTTTTTTTTTGAAACACGGGTGGGCAAGACCAATGGAACTTGAACGAGTATCTTTTACCTTGATTTGTCATTTGTTAAATACTTGTTCTTTCTATTCCAATGCAGTCAATAGATGTGATGGACTATTCTTTGCTAGTTGGTGTGGATGAAATGAAACATGAATTAGTTATAGGAATTATTGATTTTATGAGGCAATATACATGGGATAAGCATCTTGAGACATGGGTCAAAGCCGCAGGCATTTTGGGTGGACCGAAGAACGTTTCTCCGACAGTGATTTCACCTAAGCAATACAAAAAGCGTTTCAGGAAAGCCATGTCTGCATACTTTTTGGTTGTCCCTAATCAGTGGTCGCCTCTTTCTATTATACCTAGCAAATTACATTCAGATCAGGATCAAGATAGCAGGCAGAATGATTGAAATCATGTAAGTTTCTTGAATATTTTGATCGATAAAACCATCACACTTCTTCTAATTCAAAGTATCCTTTATTTTTTTCTCATTATTATGATGTTTTAATTTATGGAAATAGTCTTTTGCTTCCTTCAACCTCAAATAAAATAATTGTTGTTCTCATTTCCTTAGGTTGGTGGTGTCAGGCCTGCGGCTTGCTTTCCGGTCGATCATGGTAAGTGAAAATCTGCAGTAAAGGTTCAAAACTCAAAGAGGCTGCTAACTGAAGGAAAACTCCCCTACCAATGCTCGAAACAAAAAGGTTTAGTGATATGTGTGCCATCGGAGTATTTTTATTTTCCGTGGTGCCATTCTTCTTTCTGAAGCTGCTGCCATTGTCACCTCAATCCCCTTCTTAAAGCAACTTTTTGTTCGATCGTCAAATCCTCCTGGTAATGTTTTCTACTCTTCTTGAAGTCCTTTTTTCACGTTAATTTGTCCTTTCAGAGATTGCCAAATCTTTCTGGTAATGATTTTTACCCTTTTGCGAGTCCTTTTTTTTCTCATCTTAAGTTGCTTAACCATATTTATTCAACTCAGATACTTCTCATTCTTGGTATAGCTTAATGCCAAATTGAACATTCATGCATAATCTCTGCACCCTACCTCAAGTTTTTTTCATATTGCTTGTCACTTCTTATCATTGAAACTAATTTTGAGAGTTTTCTCATATTTTTGGGCTTCATTTTGATTTGGATTTTTTCCTTTTATCCAAAATTTTTTTTTTTTCTAATGCTACTCATCATGAAACCCTGACTACCCTTTTTTCTTCTCCAAGTCTAATCAATTTCTGGAACTTAGGCTCAAGCCTAATGAATGATGTCTGGTTCCCACAATTATAGTTCTTGTGTGACAAATTTGCTGATTCTTTACTATGTAAATTGTAGTAATGTACAAAACTTGAGGTAGAAATTTTTATAGCTTTGGTAATTGTTTAGTTTGTCAAAATCATTATCTTCTTTCTTCAGTGATAATTTTCTTTCTTTTTGTCCTTTGTAACGGTTAGGTTTCGTTTGGGATGACTTTCTTACAGCTTCTTAAAGCAGCTTTCTAATACAATAATTTTAATTTTTATATTAAAAAGCTGCTTTCAGAAATAGTAAGAAAGATGTCGCAAACAAAGCCTTAATCAGTGGAAATCATATTCTTTCATTAAGCTATATTTTGTAAGAAATGATGGTTTTCTAGTAATAGCTTTCTGTCCTGTAGGAATGTCGTTGTTTCTTGCTTTTCAAGTCTTTTGTGTGGCATCCACATAATAGTTATTTCAACTTACTCATTTGCTTGTAGGAAAAAAAAAAAGAAAAGCTGTTGATGAAATTTATTAGATTCATTGTTTGTGAAGATTACCATTGTAATAGAAATAAGTACTTTGTAAGCCAGGCACTAATTAGTTTTATTTATATAACTTAGACTTAGTTTGGGATGACTTTCTTTCTGCTTCTTAGTAAAAAAAATTAAAATTTTTATACTAAGAAGCTGCTTTAAGAAGCAGAAAGAAAGCCGTCCCAAATGAAATCTTAGTGCCGTGTTTTTGATTTGTTTATTAATGCTAACTTTATTAGCTACCACGAACTTACGAATTGAAATATATACATAAAAAATCTGCCTTTAATGAGAAATTTGTTTTCATATCTTATATTGGAATCAATGGGGCCAACGATGTGTTAAAGAGCAGGGAGTTTTGTTCATCCCTTTGTTAGGAACAATTATTAGGTCCGGTGATTGGATGTAGCTCTACGTTTGGTCACCATTAAGTTACCGGTATTTGCTCGGTATTGTTAGGTATTGCTTGGCAATAATGAGAAATATCGCTCTGTGAAGATCAATACCGAGCAATACCGAGCAATACTGAGTAATACCGAGTTTTTCTATAAAAAACTTGGTATTGTAGAAAAACTCGGTATTGCTCGGTTGCTCGGTATTTGTCTTCACATAATGGTATTTCTCGTTATTGCCGAGCAAAATCGACAAATACGTGATTTTGTGCCTGCTACGTGGCGTGATTTAGTGCCGGCAGAACGCAGCTCTATGTCCTTTCACCGGACCAAATAAAAGTTCCTTTGTTAGATGAAGGCATTGATGAGTGTTGTAGTGTGAAGGAGAAGAGGAACTTGCAATGAGATCTCATTGGAGAGAACCTTTGAGGTAATCAAAACCAACTATTAATGTTATTATCTCTTGCTCCAATTCTCACATCAGTTGACATAAAACTATCAACTAATTAGGCTTCCAATGGCATTCTAGTGGGGTTGTAGTTGAATCGCCCTCCTTGTGCCATGTTTGTTTTTATTATTAGGTTTCGCTTGCGACGGCTTTCTTATTGTTTCTTAAAGCAGTTTTTTAGTATAAAAATTAAAAATATTTGTATTAAAAAATTGCTTTAAAAAACAGTAAGAAAATCGTCCCAAATAAAATCTTAATCAGTAGCACGATTACTTAAATCTTAGTGAGGAGAGTTTTCGTTCAGCATAGTGTCATATATAACACCAATTTTAACATAAATTTCATAAGTTCTTCAGCAAATCAGATCGAAAAAATATCTAACATAAAAGGCAACAAAATAAAATAAGGCTCTTAGGCTGTAAGGGGATTGGTCATAAAATGAGAGATAAAAAAGTTTTTTTTTACCATAATGATCATGATCATAACTTATAATTACATAAAATTTAAATACCTTATTGAAAGACTAATGAAGGAAGTCACCAAAAAGAATTTCTAGTTGGATGATGTAATCAGAACCAACTATTAATGTTGATAGGGTTGTGTGGAATCAGAGTGTTTAGAGATCGGTGTCAATTTCGGGTCATGGGTCGGGTTCGGGTCGAATCCGAAACTGACCCGACATTATTCAGGTCAACCCGAACCTGACCCGTTTTTGAAAACGGGTCAGTTTTCCTGACCCGAATCCGATCCGCTTCGGGTCTGGGTCAACCTGACACGACCCGAAAGACCCGTTTCCAACAAAAAATTGCTAGTTTTCAGGTCAAAAACGGGTCTTTCTCCTCTTTTTCGGGTAAAAAATGGGACTATCTCCTCTTTTTCGGGTAAAAAATGGGTTAATCTTGGGTTGCCGGGTCAAAATCGGATTTTCGGGTTCGAGTCAAAGGGTTAAACTGAACCTGACCCGTTTCGGGTTGACTTGAACCTGAAATTTTCTGGTCATATTCGAGTTCGGTTTTCGGGTGATGTCAAATATTGACACCCCTAATCTAGCATTTTTCTCATGCACACAAGTTGCCTCAATTAATAATAATAATAATGAAAAAAATTATAATACAAAATGAATTAAGATAAATTTCAAAATCCTTGAATTTGTCTTTGAGATTAGTGCAATTCATTAAATTATATGAAGCAATAATCTTTATACTTTAAGTTAAGTGTTTCTCGTACATGAGCGCTTGTAGGATGAGTGATCTCCTACAAAGTTGCATCAAGGGGAGAAAGTCGTGAGGTCTTTAGCTCAAAAAAGATAGTATTTTATCTCGATGGTTAAGAGATTGGACTATTATACATACAAATCTAAAGATTTCAAAGCCAATCATGATGCATTTTGCATCAAAATGTCTTGACATAATTTTTTCAATAATATTTATGTTAGAATATCTTGATATATATTGTATCATGACGGCCTTAGAATTTATTGGATTGAATGAAATTACATTACAAATTCTTCGGTTAAACACTGATCTCAAAATAAATCTTATAATTTTTAATTCTATCTTGATATAATTCATATCATCAATATATTCTAATAAAACTTTTTTTTCCTAATAATAATAATCCATCTCAACAATTTTATGTGGAAGGTAAGCCACAAAGGAACCCTAAAATTTCAACTGTTTTTGGATTTGGGTGATTAGAGATGTAATTGTTAATTTGGATTTGAACATTCAGCTTGTTGGCTTTAAAAACTTTATAAAAATTTTTCTCAACCTAATTCGACTTGATTAAATTAAAATTTAAATTGACTTAGGCTTCGTTTAATTCGGTTTATGCTTACATAAAAAGAAGTTTTAGAAAAGAGGTTGAGAAAAAGCCGTTCAATAAAATGGAGTTTTAATAATGAGATATGTTTGACTAATATTTTTAAAAGTGCTTATTAATATTTGAAAGTAAGTTTAAATTGTTTGTTTAGGAGTTCCACTTTTGAGATTTTATTATAAAAGACATAATTGTCCATGAAATTTATGTACACATAATATATATATATAAAAAGGAGTTTTAAAAAAGAGGTTGAGAAAAAGCCGTTCAATAAAATGGAGTTTTAATAATGAGATATGTTTGACTAATATTTTTAAAAGTGCTTATTAATATTTGAAAGTAAGTTTAAATTGTTTGTTTAGGAGTTCCACTTTTGAGATTTTATTATAAAAGACATAATTGTCCATGAAATTTATGTACACATAATATATATATATATAACTTTCTAAGAAAAAATTAATTATCCAATATTTTATAAAATAAAAAGTTTTTATTTTTAACTCATAATTTTTTAACATACAACATAATTTTTACTACATATATGATAAAATTTAAATCATATTAATTTATTATTATACTTACAATATTTCGTTATTAATTCTTCTATAAAAAAAACTCAACTTAAATAAAAAAAAATATTTTTATGTTGGAAAATTAATTTATTTTCTTCTCAAATAAATTTTGAGAAGTGAGAAAATACAAATAATCAAACGCAAATTTGAATTGAATCCTTCGTCGCTGATGGCTTGACACGTCACCTATTTAAATGTGTATGTATTTAAAAATATTACATCAATAAAATTTCAACACTTGTTCATCAAATGTGAAAACAAATAGCATTACAAATACTTTACTAAATAAATATTAAACAACCATGTCATCATCTCCTTCTCCGGATGATTACTGAATTTGATTTCTGTTACAAAAAAATTTTAAACAAAAAAAATAGTTCGCATATTCATTATACATGTTCTAATTGCATAGTTCCCCAATGCATTTTCTCTCTCAGTTCATCATTTCCTACTGCAGCGCTGTAAACGTGATAGAAATTGCTTTGAAGTTAATGAATTATATTGATAAACAAAATGACATTGTCAATCAGACCAACCAAAACGAAATAATTAATGTATGTGGGGGATCGCTTCAATTATGGAGTGCCCTTTCAAGATAAATATACAAGTTATGATAGAATTTGCTGCATACTAGTGAGCAACCAAGACTACTATCATGGATATGAAAGATTGGAAAAATAAAAAAAAACTTTCACTTAACAATTAAATAAAAAGTTTGCCTAAAATCTAGAGTAGTAGCAAAAAGAATCGGTGTGATCAAAATGAAAGACTATTGAAACGAATAAAATTCAATACCACAATGAAAGCATTCTAGTTGTATCAACGAGAACAACATCTAGATCACACACATATTCAAATAACTCTAAAAAATATGGAAATAGATGCTAAAAAGAATAAATAAAACATAGTGTAACCCAGGGTTTCTCCTTTGTATATGAGGACAAAAATTTTCTATCAATAAGTAGTCCACTAGGTACTTGCTACATTACCTTCTTCAATGCGGGACAAGGTTAAATGAACTTTTATCAAAACTCCTTCAGAAGCCACATAATCTTCTTTACACATCTCCGCGTAATCCCTTATGAATATCTCCCAGTTATCCTCCCATCTTAAAGTTATTCTAGGCAAAAGCCAAAGAATAACTCAAAAAATTGTCAATATATATCATGATTTTAGACATCTCTTCTAAAACCAATCTAGGATGTAGTAAATGTTGTACGATTTTTATTTGAATGTACTTATGGCAAACACGTATAGATTTTGAGCTGCATCCACAGAGGTCGCCAAACATGATTTAGAAAAGCTCTCTATCTACCCGACTTAGGAGTATCTTAACTTCTTTCCTTGTCATGCTAATAATGTTGGCACTCTGTTGATGGATTCTCTGATTGTATCGTAGTTGCTTTGTAGGCTCGTTGTAGGACATGTGGAAGATGTGTTTGTTTCATCTGAGTGTACTTGCTTCATTCTTCAGATGTAGATTGCCCAGTGATTGTCATTTTAGTTCTGGCGGGAAGTACACCTGAACTAGAATCAAACATTTCTCCCCAGTTGCCAACAATTACGAGCTCCTGAACATAATGACATCCAACGTTCTCTTCCTACACTTGCGGGGATTCCATTGAAAACAAAACT